AAGAATAAAGTATTTGTATAAATAACCTTCAGGATATATATATATATATATATATATAAAATGTTTATGAAATATACATGAATTCCACGTAGAGATTTGAGTGCCATCTCCAAGATTACTCATTATATACAAGCACATATTCCAAAATCTGAAAAGAATCCAAACCACCTCTGGTCCCAAATAATTCAGATGAGGGACACTCCCTCAGTATTAGCCAAGCAAAAGCCTGGAAGCAAATCAAGCTCTCAGTCACAGGAAATCAATCAAGTGAGGCTGTCTGGTGGACAGAAACAGTCACAGTCCATGATGACCCAGGGATGCGGCTCAGTAGCAAAGCACTTCTCTACCCAAAGCCTATTTTCTAATCTTTGGCATTATATCAGACACAAATAAAATGGAGGAACACTATATAGACCCATTTTTGTAAAATATATCCCCACAGAATGTACACACCAAAGTGACTTTTTAGAAAAGCAAATGACCACACACACTGTTCGATCCTATTTTCACTTGACAATACTCTGACATTCTCAGGGGCTTGCTGGCCAAGAAGAGATGTCCTTCCAGGCCAGAAAACTATGCACGGTCAATCCCTCCCTGAGCTCCACAGGCAAACCCAGCAGCCTGGAGCCCAGTCAGCCAGCCGCTCCTTAACTCTCCACCAACACAGTATTTCTCCTGCTCAGAAGTGCCCGAGGCCAGCACTAGTCAGGTGCCAGTGCTGTAACCCAGAGCCTTCCAAAGCTACTCAGACTAGTCGGTCCTAACCATCCGCTTGCCTACCCTCAGGAAAGCCAAAACCAATGCTGGACTATGCTTTCTCCTTCTTTTCAGCCTCAGAACTGACCCCAGTGCTCCCCCATGTGGCCCTGCATGGCATGGCATGGCCCCTCCCTCATTAAAGGAAAAGCTGCTTTCAAGGCCACTGTCCCCACCTTACCACAGGTACCTGTGTTCCCAGCACTCGGGACAGAGGCAAGAGGGCTGCCAGGAGTTTGAGGCCAGCTGGGGTATTAGAACATGGCCATTACCATTTAATCAGAGCAGCTGTGACAGGAGACCGTCACAAGATCAGGCCTGCTGATCTCCCTTGTAGGAGTGGGGAACATCTCTAGAACCTTGCCTGAGCCTAGCTGCTCCTCCTGTGCACAGTCCCTCCCATCAGAGCAGAACCCTGCCCTAGTTGCCTATGGTCTAGTGCTAGAGTTAAGGTCTCAGAGGACTTGCTCCTCTGTCTTCAGCGCCCTGTCTGGGGCAGGTAAACATTTGCTCATGTCTCCCCAGGAAAGTTAACACTGACTCAAAAATAATTTTTCAAACAAAGTATTAAATAAACAAATCGTAGATATAAAATGCATAAAGTAGCCAGGTGTGATGGTGCACCCAGCACTCGGGAGGCAGAGGCAGGCGGATCTCTGTAGGTTCAAGGCCAGCCTGGGCTACATAGTGAGTTCCACGCCAGCTGGAACTATAGGGAAACCCTGTCTCAAAGAGAAAAAAATAATAATAAAATTAAATAAAATAAAATGCATAAAGTCTGTGCACTGTAGGGTTTGGGACAGTTTTGAATGTTTTTCTTCCTTTTATTAGTCTTCCAACAGTGACTACAGTGACAAGAAGATGGGAACTGGGGAAGAGGGAGGCTAAACAGAGACGGCGGGAGCAACGGGCGCAGATCCCAGCACAAGGGGAGGGGGGAGGCCAGGACGGGAAGGGAGGCAGCACAGGCTGAGCCGCATTTTCGGGGGCGCATCCTCCACACTCACACCCCTACATTTTCGTCACCGTGAGTCTATTTTCTTACATTTTATTTTATTTATTTATTGTGTGTGTGTGTGTGTGTGTGTGTGTATGTGTGTTGCATGTGTGAGCACATGTGGTCAAAAGATAGCTTGCAGAAGTCAGTTCTCTCCTTCCACCATGTGGAGCCCAGGAATAAATGCAGGTTGTCAGACTTGATAGAGACGCTTTGACCTGCTGTGGCATCTCACCAGCCCAGTGAGCCCATTTTCTACAACTTTAGAACTTTCTCAACTTACAGAGCTGTCAGAACAATGCTCTGCCCTTGCGTATGGTATCGTTTCCCACCCTACAGAGACTGAGGAGTCCAGACCAGACTCTGCATGCAGCCCTCCCTGACTACAGGTCAACCAGCCGTACCTCCTTAGCCAGCCGTCGGGCTTCATAGTAGGGCCTGGCCTTCTCGATACAACTCCCCAGGTGGGAGCCCTGCGTGTTGAGCTTTCTCGCAGACTCCTGTAGGATCCTCCGATAGGTGGTCCTGGCCTCCTAGCAGGAAGATGGAGAGCAGGTGTAGGCGCTTAGACCCTCATTTCTCAGACACACCCCTTCCTCCACCACTGTCTCAATCTGGGAAAACACAGGCGGAGACACTCCCAGAGACCGACCCAGGGTATGAGCAAAGAGGTACACTCACATCTAGCTGTAGCTCCACCTGGTTGATCTCCTCACTGGCCTGGTTCAGATGCTCTAGCTCCTCCTGCCAGAGAAGGGTGAAGGTTAGCCAGTCGTGGTGGTGCCCACCTTTAACAGAGGCAGAGGCAGGTGGACCTCTATGAGTGCCAGACCAGCCAGGTCTACCCTGTCTCAAGTGAACTATGCTGAGCAGGTAGGAATAACCACGGAGACAGGGCCCCAGGAGACTGGGGTGGAGGGGGAAATCCTGGGGAAAGGGAAAGGAAATGAAGGAACTATTCCATCGTCCCTTGTCCAAGACCACAGCTGCATGTGATCCTGACAGTTCAGTGTAGACTGAGCAGTCAAACACCCATTTTAAGGATGAGGAAATCCTGGCTCAGAGAACGGTACTTCCACGCACACAGCAGGGGGCAGGAAGCCTCCTGTCCAGCAGGCGGTGGCACCTCTTTCTCTCGTTGGGGGCAGCTCCTGGGAGGTGAAGGGCTCGCCACCCTGGGCCAGGAGGGTCACTCACTCAGCACTGGTACCTCTTGGTACCAAGAGACTCAAGAGTGTAGCACCCATCCCTCCTCACCACACCAGGGAGGGAGACAGCAAGCAACAGGCTCTTGGCAGCAGTGAAGCTGTGTGAGGGGTGGGCAGAGCCGACCCTGGGCAGCAGAAGTCCGGGGCAAGATGTTTGGAGTACATGTTCCCTAGCAAGGGGCCAAGGAGGGACTGCTCCGGGGTAGACAAGCGGCACAGGGACACCGCCGGGGAGACAGCAGAGAACGGAGGCCCAGTGGCAGCACGGTCCCCAGGGTCTGCTGCCACTTAGTCTTTGAGCTATGATGGCAGGACTGAGCAATCTAAAGAAAGCTTGGAGGGGTCACAGAGACAGAAGGCTAGTGTCTGCGCTCCAGGTGGAAGACAGACCCCAAAGAAAAGCAGGACCCAAACCACTAGGGCTTGGCGGGTGATCAAGGCCAGGTAAAAGTGCAGGCTCCCAGAGGATGGCAGCACCCCAGTTTCCATCCAGTGCAGCAGGTCTTTCTCTTTTTTCTTTACTTATTTAAATTACGCCTCTCTGTATCTGTGTGTATGTGTGACTGTGGGGGCCAGAGGCACTGGATCCCGCTGAAGCTGGAATTACAGACAGCTGCAAGCCACTCATGTAAGTGCCGGGAACTCGACTCCAGGTCATCTCCCAAGCCCCCAGCACAATAGGTCTTGAGGTACCAAGGAGGAAGGAGCCTCAGGGGAAAATCACCATGCTAGTTTGACCTCACTGACCACTGGGCCTCACTGGAACCACCCCAGAACTTTCTGTGACATGAAGAGAGCTGGGAAGAGAGTTGGCCACAGTCAGCCTCCCCGGCCCAAGAAAACACACCTATTCCCAGATCTCTGGTGAACCAATACTTTAGGAAGGCTGCTGGGCAATGCTAAGCGCTACACCTGGAAATGCCTGGCCCTCAGCTACAGGTTCCACAGAGCAGGCGCTCGGCTACAGGCCCTGCCTCAAGCCCAGTCTGCTTGCTGTCATACACAGCCTGCGCTTGAAAGCAACCGCACCATCTTCCCGTCTGTAGATGAGATGCTGGCCCCCAATCACCTCACTTGACATTTCCAGCACCTCAGGGAGAGGGGTGGGCTGGCATGGATGATCTCACTGTAGTCTCTTACTTCTATGATGCATGTCCTTTGAGAAGCTACTGAGCAACTAAAAATACAGGAAATGTTTCAGAGCGGCCAGTAGAGAAAAAGGAAAAACAGAAATGCAGAATCTGCAATGCAGCTAGGAACAAGGTATGGGAACCGCGTACACTGAGCGCGCAGACCGCGCCTCCAACAGCACGGATCTGCCTGATGTTCTTGAGCAGAGCTGTCCGACAGAACAGTATGTAAACCAGATGGAACACACCATTTCACAGAAGCCATGGTTTTGGTTTTGGTTTTGAACTCTTAATCCTCCTGCCTCAACCTCCCCGGTACTGGGATTACAAACGTCTACTAACCTCATCGTTAAACAACAAAAACAGAGGCTGCAAAGATGGCTCAGCGGATAAGAGCACGTCCTGCTCTTCCAAAAGACCAAGTTCAGTTGGGTTGTGAGCATTAGGCAGCCACAGCCACCTGAAACTCCAGCTCCAGGGGATCCAATGCCCTCTTCTGGGCTCCTGCACACATGTGCAAACATTCACACAAACACACACATACATATAATTTTTTAATATTTTATTTATTATTTTTATGTGTACACATGTATTGTCTGCATGTAGGTAAGTGCGCCCGTGTCATGCAATGCCTGCGGAGGACAGAAGAGAAGGACAGAAGCCATTGGATCCCCTGGAACTGGAGTTACGGACAGTTGTTAGCTGCCATGTGGATGCTGGGATTCAAACCCAGGTCTTCTGCAAGAACAGCCAGTGTTCTTAACCACTGAGCCATTTCTCCATCCCCATAAATAATTTTTAATAAAAAATAAAGTCAAAATAGTTCCAAACATAAGAATATCTCTCACTCACTCCAGCACTAGACAGTATCTGAAACACCATTCCAACATGCAGTCAATGTAAACTACTAACCCTTCCTTCACCCTTTCATTTTTTCACGAAGTCTTCGAGCTCTACACGCACTGGGCACTTAGGGCACATCTCAACTTAGTGGCATCGAACTCCTGTGTTGGACAGTGTCTAAAAGTTGGTGCACACTGGGAATCGGATTAGCCAGTCAACTAGTGTAAAACAACACACCACTCTGGAACCCAGGCAGCACACACCACTTGGAGGCCCCGAGGCATAGCGGGCACGTCACTGCCTGTACCCCCACATGCAGAGCTCCCTGATTCTCAGGGATAATAGGCATATCGCCATTAGCTGAAGGAATCACCCCAGTGGATTCTCAGAAAGGCAATTCCTATCAAGATGGGCGGCAACGTCGTCCCCATGGACAACTTCCTGTACTGACTTGGCCCCCAGGGCTCAGGCTGTCCATGGAGAAGTGACCTGTCCACTCCCTCTCCAACCTCTCTCGGCTCATTCACAGTAAACACAGGAGAAATGATGAGGCCAGAAATTTGTGAGCAAACTGGGTCCAAATCCAAAACCAACCTTTGATCTTACTTTTTTACCACTTTCCAGGACCAAGGCCATCTTCACACGGATGTCTCAGAAAAGACTGCTGTAATCTAGGGAAAGTATCAGCCCTGTGAATGCCAGAAACAACAGTGCAGGGGTTGGGAGGACACACCATCCTGAAATGCTCACAA